TTATATATGATGGATAATTTTATTTAGGCTTTGCACGGTTGGGATAGATATCTGGACCTTACTCGTATTGGACCTTTGGTCGGCCCAAAACAGTTTCCCCTAAGGCTTGTCAGATGCTTTATCAATCGAGAAGTTTTTCAAAGTTGCGAACGACATATTGTTACAAAATTTGGCCATAAGGGGATTGGGAATGCCATGAGACAGTTGTAGAAGTAGTGGGAAACATGCGCATTAAATGCATTTCCATTATTGATAAGTTTCACCGATTTTTCCAGCATGAGCCCTTAGGCTCGTAGATTAGGGTGTGGCGCTCATCTTTAGGGAATTCGAGTGCACTTGAGTTTACTTATGTTTCCAAGGTGAAATCTGACCGTTGATTTCTAACTTTACATTTTCCTTTTGATCTGACTCGTTGTTTGCCTCTTCTATATAAGGGTTTCCTGGCTCTTTGGATGAATTTTCCGCCATTCTAGAAAGTCAACTTCCTCTTTTGTGAGAATATTTTTTTTCCTTTTTTAGAAGCTTTTGCCTCGGTGTTTGCCTTCTTCTGTAACGCGGCTTTCCCACTTTGTGTTGGACTTGAGACTTCACACACAAGAGGGGGTGAATTGTGTGGTTTGTAAAAATATGGTTTCAGAAGACTTTGAGAAATAAAACCAGAGTTCAAAAAAAATTTGAAAAAATTTGCAGCGGAAATAAAATGAGTTAAGGAAAGAAGAAGTGAACTAAGAATTATACAAGTTCAGTAAAACATGATTTAGTCTTATCCCCAAGAATTGATCTTGAGAGTTTCCAATAAATGTTGAGAGCTTTTAGTATGAAAGACTCACGAACCCCCTTATATAAGGATATGATGGTTGATCTTTAACCAAATAATATAAGACGATAGATATGGGTGTTTGTGTCTTTTATTCAAAATAAACTTAGGAGCGAAGTGGCCAATCTTGTTTCCCAATGGTGGATTGAAGCAGATAGTCTTCTTTTCGCGAACACGGACCTTAGAGTAGTTAGTCTTCAAGTTCCAAAATCTTTGAGCTCAAAACCTTGGTTTTACACAGGATAACCAAAAACCTCTGAGAATTTAATATTCTGATGATCTCGAACCTGTGAATCTTTTAATATCGGGCTAAGCTTCAACCTCTCTTGGTTTTAATATCGGGCTGACCAAGAACCTTGGAGATTTTAACACGGGTTGATCTCCAACCTAAACTAGGATTGAATCACACAATCTAAAGTACAAGCTTTTTACATGTTTAACTTCTAACCTAAACAAATCCCAAAATGGATAATATTCAACCAAGGTGTATAAAAATATTCCTTTGGTGAATTTATAATTCTACCTTTTCCCTAATTACAAAAGTATCCTCACTAACAAAAGGACTTTTCTCATAAAAGCACTTAGGATAAAACATTAGTGAGAGAAAGTTAAAAACAAGTTTAGTGAGAGAGAGTGAGAGATGAAAGTGTCAAAAAAGGAATTTCAATTTAATGCATTTTAAAGCAATATAATCAATTAGAGCATATTAATAATGATTAGATGGTTATAATAATCGTTTGTAAGTTCTCAAAAGGGAAAGTTAAGATATCTAGTTATTGCACAAAACAAGACGCCTCCAAAATAACTTGGGGCCTCAAGTTTGTGCATTTCTAAACGATTAGCCAAATGTTCTAATCAATTAGAAATTTCAAAAATCCGCCTATAGCTATTTTGACTGCTCCTCATTCATCTAACACAACTTCCAGATGTTTTTCAAAATATTTTCTTTTAGTAAAGCATTTTGAAAATAGCCTTGTGTGTGTGCTTTAGCCTTGCGCATTTACGATAAAGTGTTTTTGCCTTACAATCGTTCACTCATTACTAAATTTGGAAATTACCACATTACTTCAATACTTTGCCAAATACTCCTCTTTTTGTTACACATACTTGAGTATCTTGAGATGATATTTTAGTTTTATTTCATTTGTTTTCCATCATCGAATAGTCAAGTCCATCAAAATCTAATGATGAGGTTTGCACCTTTATCCGCTTAATCGTTCATGCTTGACTTATCATGGTACATTAGTTGTCATCATCAAAATTAAATGTCCTTGTTAAAAGCATATCACCTTCAAAACAAGGTTCCACACTTTGCACTTAGTATCTGCTCTCTTCGCATGCTCCCACCCTTTACATGTACCCTTCTTACCTTGAGCCTACTTTCTCATATCGAGTATTTATTTTCTCTATAGCTCATATAAACGATAACCCCGTAAATTTTTCTAGTGATTTTGGGAATAGTGGTTCCTTTCGTTCCCTTAGAACATAAACCTCTTCTGGTTTATATTCTAACTTTTTATGTTCTAGTTATTCCACTTCAGTGATTATAAATGTTCCTAATAGTTATGAGTCTGAGAGGTCCTCAAGTGATCCTCTTGATAGGGAAATTTCTCCTAAGGGATCCTTTTTTGACGTTCTTCTTTTTTATGATGATGTTTGAACGAGATTGCACCGTCAGTTCTGCCCATTCTCTCTGCATAGCTTCCAGGGGTCCAATTCATCCTGCTTTTTCTTCACATGAGGTGGAAGTCATTGCTTTGAATAGATAAGAGGCCCACACCTTCATCATAACTTACTAGCTCGCATTCGTTTGGAATCCAAGTAATGGTGTGCTTAGGGATCATCTCAAGCTTAAGACTCAGTCCACCGGTGTCAATTGGCTTATGCCATGAAATATGTTTCGGGCCAATGAGATACCCCCAAAGAGGTACAAGTCTTGTGGAGTTAGTTGATGCGAGAAAATATAGTTAGGTAGATTCCAAAATACTAGGGACCCTGACCGCTTTAAATAGTCATGCGGTTGTGAGGGATACTAACATAGAAGTGGGGTGCCCTTCTGATTGGTTGGTTCTTCCCGTGAAGTTTGGAAAAAGGATTAGCAGAACCTTCGGGGAATGCTTTATCCCTTTCTACGACAGTTTGTTTACTCAAATAAATTCAAGGGTACCTTTGACCATATTTGAACAGAAAAGGTGTTAAGGTTTTTGAATATTTCCCCCTCGCAACTTCATCCTAGTGCTTGGGCCTTGATAAGGGCATTTCCAACTCGAGGATGACTATCAGCTTTGGAAGCCCTCCTGTCGACTATTTTCCCACCATTTTGTTATGGTACACAGTTCACTGAATAATATCCATAATCAGGAGTTCATCTCACTGGGATAGGATAATCCCCAGTTTAATGCTTACGGTGAGAACCGGGACGTGTTCCGAGATCGCTTTGTGTTTGTAAAGTCTTATACCTTGAGAGTTTACTTCGCCTTCTGCTAGGATCTCGTTGATCTCCTCTTCTTGTTGGTTTATAAGACTTACCTCCAAGTTAATGTACGGATAAGTTTCGAAAGTATTGGGTTTAGGTTAACTTTAAACATGAGCCTCAAAAGTATGCAGTCCTCATAGATTCTCTTATCCTCGAAGAGATTGAGATGAAGGAAGACCTTGATGCCTTATATGAGAGTATCAATTATGAAAAAGGGTTTGGCCCTTCTGAGGTAAAACCCTCTATGCGAGGAAGCGGTTGATTGACACTTGGGCCAGTGTGGAAACGACCAGTAACCTAAAAAGAAAAGATATTTGATGAAGATAGAGTGTCATCCCCTAATTTCCCCTTTTTTTGACGTGGGTGCTTTTGTATTTGCAGATAACATGGTTGCCTTGAAGAAGATTTTTTATCTTGCCAAAGAAGAGGGGTTAAAGGTGTCGCCATAATTACTTTGACTAGAGCCCCTACTCCCTCCAATTGAATTTGGCTTCCCTGTTATTATTAATAATCATCCAATCCCCTCTAGCCGCAATCAACCTTGTATCCTCCTGTTAATTATAAGGGTCAAGATCAGGATCAAAGTTCTTCTTGAAAGGAAATTTCAATAAAGTGGACTCAGTTATCTTGGGAGACTTATGTTTGACTTGCTGTAACCAATTCCGTGTCATCCCAAATCCGCCGCACAACTCAAAAGGCACTTTCTTCCCTTTTTCAAGAAGACCTTGCATATATCCATAATCTCCTTGAGGCAAAGAAGATGGAACTCTTTTAGGAGGCAAGTGTCTATGCTTATCGGACAACTTCTCTATTTTCCATGGATGTTGCTCTCTTTTAGGAGGCAAGTGTCTATGCTTTTCGGACAACTTCTCTATTTTCCATGGCCAAGATGATGTTCTAGCCATGGGAAACCCCTCTAAGGAAAGGGATACCTATAAGGGTAAATGCAAGGTGGCCGATCACAAGACATCCTTATTATGTCAAGTAAATTAATTACACCAAATTAGCTACAACGTTTTTCTATGACTAACCTACATTGTGTAAACGGTAACAAAAAACCTACAATGTAATGTATAAATAGATTCTCATATTATAAAATAAACCCAGTCTTATTTTAATTGTCTTAATTTTGATTCACCATATTCACATGTTGTGTTAGAATCATTTGAACTTCTCCAAATTAAAAAAATTATGCATTGTAGACAAAATAACAAAATCCCCTTTTTTTCCTAAACGCACACACGCTTAGGAAGATGAAATGATTATCTATCTCTATAAAACTCGTTTTCTCATGTGTACCAAATTTCATCTTTAATCTTTTTACCCAATTTTTAAACTATAATCTTGTACCATTTCCTTTTTACTCAAGGGCGCAGATTTCACTATTCTCTAATCTAAATGGGGTCCAGATGGTTGGGTTTACCAAGCCCTTTGTTACAGGGATCGTATTTCAAGAGCAGAATTTCAGGGTGCTAACTTTTGCCCCATGCTTGGACGCATTTCATTCACAAAAAACAATTGAAACCCTTCATAGAACTACGAATCCTAAATAAAAAGAGCACTAACTCAAGAATGATCAAACAGGCAGAAGACCCATAGAAAGGGGATGGGGGAGGGGGATGCTATACAAAGAAGCCATTAAAAAATATACATGCAAAACCCATGCCACAGACACTTTGAAATGCCTTCCTGACACACTTCAAAACCCTAAAATCTCAGTACAACAGTACTGACAAAAAATGAAAATATAATAATAAGGAAACCCACTCCAGTAGAATTACAACCTGCACAATGCACCAATTCACAAGTCAATATTTTGCTCAGTAAATGTAATAATTGGCATGATAAGTAGTTAGCACTACAGTAAACCAGTAATCCTCAGGGAAGAAATTCAAGGCATAACCAGACAGGCACACCCTAAAAGTCCTACTTGATAAATAATTTATTTAATTACAAACAGACAGCCTCAGTGGTATAAATTTTTAGGAAAAATTAAAAATGGAATTAGAAGCAAAATGGGACGCACCCATGTTTTTCAATGACTGTGAAATTGGTAATGCTGGTAATGACATCTCTGCACAAGTCCAAATAAAACCAAGTTAAGAAAATGCTAAACAACAATGATAGAGAAAGCCAAGTGAAAGTTACTTTGTCCGAACTCATACCGGGTGCACAGAATGATAGGGATGTAAATGAAGATGATGAGGGCCAGGGTGCAGCAATATTGTCACTTAAATCACATGTAAAGCTAACGCCAGATGAATTGTCAAATATTACATCTCCTGGTAAGCTTCGAAGTAGACATCCTCCATCTAAACCAACAATATTAATTTAACTTACAATTCAGTCATACCTTGACAAAAAGCATGTCTTTAGAGTCCCTGTCTTATTGAATATAATTGTAAGGATAACCCAAGATTGTACTTAGAAATTTTTAATTAGACGAGGTAATTAGAAATTTATAGGGAATTTAGAATTCTAGGTGATTCAAAATTCTTTTGTATCAATAGAGTATTAAAATTCTTTTGTTTGGATATAGTATTAAAATTATTCATTCTTGAATTTTTTGGTTATTTTTATAAATTTTAAAAGTTCTGTCAAAATAAAAAATTGAAAATAGGGACCTACTAGTATTTGAATATTAAAATGGGCCAATTTGTAAAAATTGAAAATTATTAGGGACCAAGTTGTAATTTTTGAAACTATTAGGGGCCAATTTGAAAACAATATGGGGACCAAATTTTAAAATTTAACAGATTAATAATAATTAATTTGACATTCGAAATAAATAGAGAATTTTCAAATTCTTTAATTTTGTGTCCTTAAATTTATAACTTACGCTAACTTCCGTATATTTTCATCATTTTAAGAATTCTGCGAATTTTTTATCCAAACAATGGATTTTGGCCAAATTATTTTAAATTCTCAAAAACAAAATTACTTTCCACTTAACCCAAACACACTCTTGTTAACAAATCCAAATGTCACTCACATGTCAGGTTCGAGTTCAACTAACAAAGCCTAATGTAATATTCTACTATAACGTGAGTGAAATTATTCTTAAACGGTGAAATCATATTTAACCAACAGTTGTTATAAAATAAATTCCAAAGTCTCGTGAGAACAGATTATCAAATTATAAATAACAGCAATCAACAAAATTCAAGGATGGAAAAAAAGTAAACCTTGTAGTCCAAGTGCAGCTGCCGGAGCTCCATGTATAGTCACAATAAAAGAAGAATTTAATAAGAGATTTTTAAAAAATGGTCATAGGTAGTAAGTAACTTGAACATCACTTAAGCATAAGTATAAATACCTTGTACGCTGAAATCTTTCAAATCGACATCACAAAGGTCATATACATTTGTCATCACCCCACCTCCACGTAACATAGATCCAAATTGTGTTGCACATATTATAGCTTGTTTATTGGTAATTAATATTTTTTGTTGTGTCTCTGCAATATACGTATTTAATGAACTGCAGCAGGTAGGACTCGGAGCAGCTACATTCTTACATACAGCAATTACATCTGAAGGCTCCTTAAAAGTCAAAGGACAAACTGCACAGGCAAGATTTACCGAGTTAATAAAACAAAAAACCAGTTTCAATTCAATTAGTGGAGCACAAACTTTTTAAATATGTCGTGAATACATGTTTTCAAGAAGATCCCTCAAATTTAATCTATACAGGATATCATAATGAAATTTTGTTATTTAAAAATGTTAATAGGATGTGCTTTGCTAAACAACATTCTAGCAATCTTAGTACAACAAAGAAAAAGAATCCCAGCCCTTTCCTACTGAAGTAATAAACTTACTAGGATACAAGAAGGGTCTAAGAATATCTTAAGAGTATGTTAGAAATCACAGTTTATCTTTTAAGATTAGTTTCTTATCTCAAAATATCCCTTAAAATAAATTTCCATATTACATAGTTATTATCATGATTTCCCTATACATTAAGAATTGGGAATCTTCTATGTGTCCCTATAAACTAGGGTTAGTGCTCAGTCATTTGTATCAAGTCATTCTCAATCATATTATTCATATTACATATTTCAAAGGTCTCGGTACTTTCTCATATTTATTATCGATCATATAGTCCCATTATTATGAAATCAAAAGTCTTTATTTCTTCTCTTCTTTAACTAGACCCCAAAACAAGAAGAAGAAAAAACTAATACATAAAAAAATAATTAAATCATTTGAAATCAAGGTATGCTAAGACCGGCAACATAAAATCACTTGAATACATTTTCCTAAGTCCAGATATTATTTATCCCAAATTATTCATTAATGATATGATTAGTCACGTCACGCCATTAAGAATGGAATAGTTAAACAATGTACCTTTGTTGACTTTGCAGGCAGATAGTATCCGGAAAGCTTTATTCGCAGCCTGAGACGATAGTTGTTTGGAAAGATAAGAATAAACAACACCTTTACAATCATTTAGATAATCAGTGTGATTCATTTGCCGGGCCATATTGTCACTATTAATCATCATTTGCCTGCCAGAAATCTGAAGTGCTGCATCCATAATTGCAGGGCGACAAACAGGTCTGCAACACTCTTTAAGCGGATCAACGGTTCTGCAGGCCTCAACTAATTTACTTGTGTTAACTATTGTTTCAAAAGTAGAATCATTCTTCACAGGGCATGACCCACCTGTAAGATTAGATGATTTAATAGAACAAAGCGTGGGTATTGTACTATTTGCCCCTCTGCTTGCTAGAATACTAACAATATCAGAGAAGCAATGATCGGCAAGTGCATTTGACAAAACCAGATAATCGGATTTCATGGAAAAGAAGCCCTGGAAGATATGGATTAAGCTACTAAACTGTGGACAACATACGACATTCCCTACAAGAGACGCCAAAGGGCTAAAGCAATCAAATGCTGCTTTATCGAGGATAATTGAAATTTCTGGTCGGGAAAAGTTTACAGGGCACTTACCTGTTAAAACTGGTTCGTATCTAGTTGGGACATAAGGAATAGGATACATTGGTGGGACAGAGTCGGTGGGAAATGGAACTTTAGGCATAACGGAAGGTGATATTTCAATGGGGTCAAAGAGCCCGGAATCTCCAGAAGTAGGTTCGTTGGCTAACTCAACTAGTGAAGTGGTTCGCCTATGGTCGGCGTGTGATTCTTGTGCTGTCACATTTAAGAAACTAGGAAGCCAGATGACAAATAAAATTAGCCGACGCCACCAAGAACCTACAACAATTAAACATACATATAGGTCAGAGATAAAGCAAGCCAACAATTTGTGTATACAATCCAACAAATACCCTTACCTGTATAATAATTAGCATGCTGATAGCTGCCCATAACTTCCTAGCCCTTCGGTGACATTGAGTTTTTACACATGAGAATCAAATTGAGATGAAACGGACTACTCCCTCAAACTTCTAGCTTAAGATCTGCGATTAAAGGTTAAGGCTCTGTTTGGTAAAGTAAAAGCAAATTTTGAGATTATTTTAGTAAGTGTTAGTGGTTAGAGAGTGAAGAATGGTACCGTGTTGGTGTTATTGTGAAGTAGTGAAGCATGGATCGGAAAAGGGAAACCCTAATTGAGAAAGAGAGGATAGAGAGAAGGAAGAGTGATATGGTAACAGCTGGCAGGGTTATTACCTACTCCTATTGCTACCATTTTTGTTCTTTTGCTACTCTAAATTATTACCGGTTGGTCAGAGTAAGTAGACTCTTATGACTTCGGTTCTTTTATTTTACTCATTAACTATGACATTAATTATTATTAATTCGTGATGATTATCATCCTCTTCAGTTTAAACGCACCGTATTCGCTGATACAACAACTCCAAACCATTATCTTCTTTAATTTAAGTTTAACCGTGTATTTACTTTTTTTTTTATAATTTTTTTAAGACTAAAACTAAAAATCCAAAAATACTTAACAATATTCAAAACTTTTTTTAAATTAAAGGTGTAAAAATGTCTCCTTGAATGACGATCTACTTATTATCTCTTTAATAACAAAAACACAAATTAAATTCAAATCATTTTGTCACTTGACTTTTTTTCCTTAAAACCTTTTAAAAAAGAACACGCTAATTTCATTCTACAGAATACAACTATTTGAACATGGTTTGATTCTACATCTTAGTAATAATTTTGATAATAACAAATACATGATATATATATATATATATATATATATATATATATATATATATATATATATATATATATATATATATATATATATATATATATATATATATATATATATATATATATATATATATATATATATATATATATATATATATATATATATATATATATATATATATATATAAAGAACAAATATGCTCTATAATAATGTATTTAAATATGTCGAGAAGTTATGATTAAAAGTGCATAGAAGATGATGAGAGATTTACATTTTGAAGTTCTGATTAAACACAACGTACAGACTTAGAAGCAAATTTGTGTAACACGCTAATAGAAGAAGTTTTGATGTTATAACTTCTGAAGCACCAAACGCTGCAAGTAAAATTCTGATACTCTGATAAAAGAAGTTCTGGAAGAACAAAAGAAGTCTCAATGCATTCATCTATACAAAAGCTCTAAAGTTCAGCACTTAAGCTCAAGCTACACTCTGATAAATGCAAAGAAGCTTCAACGTGTCTGTCTCATCCAAGTTCTAATAATATGAATATCAAGAAACTCTGAGGATCTAAAGTCTCAACGGTAATATTCTCATTCTGATAAGATCCTAGGGAAGCAAAGTTTTGATGTGTTACAACTCATTCATTACAAATCAAAAAGTAATGGCTGAACCAAGACAAGATCTGTATTTTTGGAAAATGCACTAACAATACTTTATCAACCTTCCAAATACATCTTCTCATGTCCCTTATACCTCGCCTATAAAAAGAAGACTATGAAGAAGAATCATTTACAACATTATTGTGCATTCAAAAAGAAATATCTTTACCAGTTCAATCTTGTGCTTTAACTTTGTGTATAGATCACTGTTGTGATATAGTTTTGTTTATAAACATCATTTGTACACATCCTTATTGATTTATATTTTGTAATACCTTGAGAAACTGAGTTGTGATTTATACTCAAGAAGACATTGACGGTAGTCATTGTGTTTGTGTAATCAAGTTTTGATTAGTGGATTAAGACCTCGTTTGAAGAGGGGAGAAATCACTTTGGCGGATGAACTGGAGTAGTTTGAGTTCAAACATAACCAACGCGTCATACTGTTTTATTTTTTAATACCTCAATTCAAATCCCCCCTCCTTGTGTTTTTCTATCCTTCAATTGGAATCAGAGCGCCTGGTTATGGGTGTAAATACTTAACTGTGTCAAAAAAAGATCCTAGCAAGAAAAACATTATGGTGGGACCAAGTCAGATCATCAGCAATGATAATCATGATGAGAAAGAAAGAATCAGTGGTAAACCTCCAATCTTTTATGGTGAGAACTTTGATTACTGGAAAGATAAAATCAAAAGTTTCTTTCTAGCTCATGACGCTGATCTCTGGGATATGGTAACTGACGGCTAGATCCATCCAGTTGACGAAAGCGATCAGAAGATCGACAGAAAGAGAATGATAGATCAACAAAAGAAAGATTACAAAAATCATCACAAGGCCAAAATAATTCTCTTGAATGATATCTCGTACACTAAATATGAGAAAATCACGACAGAGAATTAGCTAAAAACATATTTGACTCTCTGATAATGACGCATGAAGGCAACAAACAAGTCAAAGAAACCAAAGCTCCTACACTCATTCATAAGTATGAGGCCTTTAAAATGGAAGAAGATGAAACAGTTGAGATAATGTTCTCGAGGTTTAGAAGTTCCAGAGGTTCTGACACCTTTGGAATTTTGTGCTACAGTAGTATCATAACTTTCTTGTTCTAGACATTTCAATTATGTGTCAGCAAGCCCGAAATGTTCAGAAAGAGGTTTTGGTATGATAATCAGAGTCTCAACAATTTTCTTTGATGGTCCTGAGTATCCTAAGCCTCTTCTTCCATTTCTACTAACACCATAGATCATTGACGCCATTTTGCTTCTATTTATGTGTAATACAGTGGGAGAACCGACTGTTATACTAGTTTTGCGTTTGTATTCGCAAATGTTGCGGTAAGCAAGAGTCGCCACCGACTTTTCTTTTATCTAACAAAGGAAAGGGTGAAAAGAACATAAAAAGACCTTTCGAGAGTTTTCTGGTTAAGGGGTAGATTATGGAAAGGGAAGGTGTTAGCACCCTTTCCATCCGTAGTTATCTACGGGTTCTTAGATGCTTTGCTAATTTGAAATACCTTGTGTTTTGTATGTTTTTGAAAAGTATTTTTAAAAGTGCCTTAGTACGGTGAACTTTGTAATGTTTCTCGGAATGGTAGAGAACGTATACAAAGTGTTTGAAAATGTTTTTGAAAGAAGTTTTGTGTAAGTGTAAAAATTATTTGAGCAAGCATCTGACACTATCTACTTTACTCGAAAGGTTGTTTTTTTTTCCTCTTTTCCTTTAGACAGTGCTATCCTACTATTAGTGAATAGGTAGCCCTAGTCGTTGGATGTTTGAGGGACATTAGAAAGGACATTTATATAGTCATAAAGGCAATTGGGCAAGAAACTTTAGTAACTACCCTAGGGTTTTTTAAGATCATATTGAGGCAACGTCGAGAGGGTCATCGAGAGACTTATGATCTTTAAACCAAAGGGTAGCCACTAAAATATCTCATGTTTCAAGAGATGTGACTGTTTTTCCGAAGGTAACCAAAGTGGGATACCCTAGAAGTGTATATGTGCAATTGTGTTTGTATTCAGTTATTTGTCTTGTGTTAGGTTTGCTAGCATTTTATTTTATTCTTGCCATACAATCCTAGTTAGCATGCATCTAAACAGTTAATAATTTGCAGAAATTAAAAGTGCGGGAGTTGTAAATCCTAGCTATTACAATGCTCTAGGGAGGGGGATTAATTACATGTCCAAAACTTGGGAGAATAAAGCAGTAAAGTAAAGCCCTAAATTAAACTATTACAAACCAGGAAGCATGTACAATAATATGAAAATGATAATGCTAAAATAAAAATCGCACGCGGACGTCTAAACCCTAAAATATTCTAAGTAAAATAAAATTCTTTTTGTTTATTTTTATTTAAGAAAATGGTTAAGTTAAAATTAGACTAATTAATTAAAAGAAAAGAAAATTATTAATTAAACATTAATTCTAAACTAAACCTAATTTTTTTTTTTTGCATTTTTATTAATAAATAAATTAAAATCTAAGTCTACTTAATTTTAATTTTAATAAAGTGTTAAGGTAATTAACTCATTAATTAACAAAATTAATTTTAATAAAAAAAATTAAAACCTATTTTTTTGTGATTTTTTAATCTAATTTTATAATTAAGTAAAAATTATTTTTGAAATTAATAAACTAAAAAAGAATAATAAAAAAAGTAAATGGGCCTGGTGCTGATTAGTAAACAGGGGGGTGCAAGTTGGATTCTTGACTAGGCCCAACAAGTCTGAAACCAACGCTCTAAAAGTGATATAGTGGGCATCACCCTTGAAGTTGTAGTGTGGGAATGCACTCTAGGATGGCCAGATCTCCTTGCATCAACATTTGATGGTCCAAATGTAAGGTCTATGATGCGCGCATGAACCTATACTCCACCGGATCTACAAAGTAAATATGAGAAAATAAAAACTCGAAACCTGGGATCAAACCCAAGCCCTCCAGCATTATGCACACATCCTTCATCACCAAGCCAATTTGCTTCAACTGTTAGTATAATAGAACAAAAACAATATAATATAAAATTGGTCAAATTGTCAAATTTCAAACATGCGCTAGATTGTATTCAAATGGGCCAATGGTGAAAAGGCACGAACGCTACCGGAGTCAGCCCACCGGAGTCAACTCTCTGATTATCTTCTCTGGTGGGCTCAAAAGCAAACTTGCAAAACCAACGAAGATCAAAGATTCAAACTTATCCTACCCCCTCATTTTTCCATGATTCCAAATCTGCAGCTATTTTGGGCTAAAAGTCCCTGGATTAGGAGTTACTAAGCTTCCCGTTTGTGATGCCCTAACAATGGCATCATACGATCCATGCCTTAACACCTTCATGCTAAACGGCATGCCTGTTCTAATGGATATGCTAAACACAAATCAAACAGTTAAAAGTATTATCGTGCCATGAAAATGTAGTTTTAAATTCCAAAAAATCTTACCAACCGGTGATGCGTGGATACAATGATCTAGGGTGCTGCAAGCCTTGTAAATGGATGGAATGAGTTCCTGGGAACCTCAGGATCGCAATTGGACAAT